GGGGGGGAGGGAAAGGACAGTGTCTGACCCACTGTCCCCAATAATTGCTGTAAAATATGTGGACTCTTGGCTCGTATCCTGTAAATGAATTTTTTATTCCTTGTAATCTGGGTGGCGATGATGTGTGCGCGCGTGCGACACCTCACGGGAAGCTGACGACTGTGGCAACATATGCTGTGTCTTTGCAGGTGGCTCTGGCTATTTTGAGCTGCTGAGTGCAGCTGTACTCCCATGCCTGCTACTGAGTTAGAGAGAGCACACAAGGCAATGCTGTCTGCTCAGCAGTCTGACCACCCACACACCCCCTCTTGCGTCCCCCACTCACCACCACCATGCCCGCACATATATAGCACTCAACAAAAACCAAAGAATTGGTGTTGTCTGAGGTGGCTTGAGGGAGGAGGATATGCTGTTTTCCTGTCTCGCGCTCTCGCACGCTCTCTCTCTCCTTTCATTTCCTGGGGCGGAGGTTCTGTCAAATCTGGATGCACAGTTCATACAGAAACCTTTCACAAATGTGGGACTTCTCGGCACACAGAACTGTGACCTCTCTGGAGCGCAAGCCAGACAAAATATTTTTAAGACCCTCAGTTGCCAAAATCAGTGCTGCCCCTCTCCTCTCAACGGATTGGGTCCAAAAACAAATCTCGCGCGTTTCATTTGATGCTGGCTCAGTTGCTGGAAAGGCAACAGAGTTTGGAATCAGTCTGCCATTGGACATGCTCCATATTTATTTTTGTTAGGGTTTACTCCCTCAACCTTCCCCTGCCCCGAGATCTGCACAAGGCAATGGAGCTGACCGCGCCCTACTGGGAGATTGAACCATGACTGCCAGAGCTCACATGTTGCAGACTGGGAAGGGACAGATCTCCTCCGAGTGCCTCTGTAGTTTTAGCCCTGGGGCCACATGGTGTCTGGTTCCTGTCTGTCAGTAGCTGAGATCTTCACTTCAGACCAGGGTGCCCTCATCATGAGTTCAGGAGTGGGCTGAGGAACGAGGAAATCGAATGAGCGAAAGGGGACCTCTTCATCCCCGCATCGGGTTTTTGTTTAGAAACCACCGGTTTAAGCATCAGGGAGGGGTTTTATTTGTCGGCCATCGGGGCAGAAACCAGAACTGTAGCAGTGAGCCCTCCGTGCCCTGCCTCCCTCCCACAGAGATCACGATGAGTGCATGAACATCCTGATGGGGCTTCGACTGTGGCATTCCCAGCAGCTTCCCGGTGGACTCCAGGGCCTGGTCCTCAACCCTATCTTCAAAGAGAACCTGCGCATTGCACTTCTTGGGGGGTAAGTATATGGATATATATATCCCTGAGCCTGCATATGTCTCTGTTCGTGTGTGTCTGTGTATATATCCCTGAGTCTGCATATGTCTCTGTTCAAGTGTGTGTGTGTCTTTGTGAGTGACTGCATGGGCGTGTGTGAGAGAGAGAGAGAGAGAGGACAGAGAGTGAACCTTTCTCCCCGGAGATTGAAAATAATCACCCCTCTCAATCACGGTCGTGTCATTGGGACGCAGAAGGAGACAGTTCTCATTTATTCTAACCTCGAGCCCTTATCCTTTTCGTCCCCAAAGCCCATCGATCTTATCCCCAGCTGTCCAGCACTCTTCACTCTGAAACAAGCACAGTGAGTGCTGGAGAAACACTGCAGGTCTAGCAGCATCTGCGGAGAGAGAAACAGATGTTCCTATTTCTTGTTCAGTGTGACACTTCATAAATTCCCCACGGAGGCTTCCAGACCTGCGGAGTTTCTCCAGCTTTCTGTTTGTTTCACATTTTCAAGCATCCGCAGTATTTTTGCTTTCGTTCTGGGACAGGCTGACTCCCCACATTGCTCACTCCCATGTCATTCCAGAGGTGAGTAGTCCTTGGTAGAATTGCCATTTTTTAACCTGACGAATGCGTGAGGTCACCCTAGATTCTCTAGAGTATACGCTGGACACAACACCCTTTGCCTAATAGACCCTAATTTGCAGCAATTAAGTTGCCGATGCTTTTAGTAACCATAGCAATGGTGCCTTGCCTGAGTGCTAATTTTCATTGCTAGAAAATAACTGTGCATTTCACAAAAGCAATTTACAATTAAATATGCTGAGCTCCTGCAACCAAAACATTTTGCTGTTCAGGCACCGTGTGTCAGCAGAAAGCACCCAGGTCATGCACAAAATGGATTCGATGTAGAGTAAAGCTCCCTCTGCTCTTTTAAATCGAAAGTAAATCTCTCTTCACAAACACTCTCCTAGGACAGGTACAGCACGGGGGTCAGATACACTGTAAAGCTTCCTCTACACCGTCCCCACCAAACACTCCCAGGACAGGTACAGCACGGGGGTCAGATACACTATAAAGCTCCCTCTATACCGTCCCCATCAAACATTCCCAAGACACGTACAGCACGGTGTTAGATACACTATAAAGCTACCTCTACACTGTAGCCATCAAACATTCCCAGGACAGGTACAACACGAGCCTAGGTATGCTCTCTCCGAGTGCTGTAACCTTAATCGACCCCATGTTTGTACCAGCGTGACCTTGTACCATTTCCTATGTTGGCTGGTCATGTTTCTGAGCGAGGTTGCTGTTTGTCATCAGTTTATTCTTTGGTTCCACATTCGGTGGGACCTGGCCAGCGAACGACCCAGATCCATCACCTCTTGTAGATGCTTTGCATTCAGGCTTTGGAATTGCATCCTGAGACAGATCAAGGCCATCGAGCTGCAGTGAACAATCTGATGTGAGGTTGTCAAAAAAACAACGACCGATGCGACTTCTTTGTCTCTAAATTTGAAGTGTCCCTGCCACCAGATCAGCGCTAATTCACATCTGCGGCTCGTGCTGGAACTTGTTAGATAACCATCAAGAGCAGAACGTTACTTGGTGCTTAGGCCAGAGTGAGACAGCCAATTGCTCTAACACATGGCTCAGATCAGCATTCGCACCTTGAGTGCAATTCTGGCACATTGTGTGAGAGCTGTGAGAAGGGGGACAGTGAATGCAGGACCACCAGGGCAGGCCTGGTGGCTCAGTGGTCAGCACTGCTGCCTCACAGCGCCAGGGACCTGGGTTCGATTCCACCCCGGGTGACTGTCTGTGTGGAGCTTGCGCATTCTCCCTGTGTTTCCTCCCACAGCCCAAAGGTGTTCAGGTGAGGGTGGATTGGCCATGCTAAATTGCCCCATAGTGTCCAGGCATGTGCAAGTTAGGTGGGTTACCCGTGGGATATGCAGGGTTACAGGGATAAGGTGGGATGCTTTTCAGAAAATCGGTGTCGACTTGATGGGTTGAACGGCCTGCTTCCACACTGTAGGGTTTCTATGTGTGTTCAGTGTGACTGACAGGATGGTGGAAAACGAGTGGAATTGGCTGGGCAGTTATAGAATCACAGAGTCAGAAACAGACCCTTTGGTCCAACTGGTCTATGCTGACCAAGTTTCCCAAACCAAACTGGTCCCATGTGCCCGCATTTTGGCCCATATAACCTCTAAACCGTCCCTATTCATGTACCTGTCCAAATGTCTTTTAAATGTTATAACTGTACCTTCATCTACCACTTCCTCAGGCAGTGCATTCCACACACGAACTGCCCTCTGTATGAGAAAGTTGTCTGTCTTTTAAATCTTTCTCCTCTCACCTCAAAAATATGCTTCCTAGTTTTGAAACCCCCCCACCCTCGGGAAAAGACGTTTGCTATTCACCTCATCTATGCCCTTTGTGATTTTATAAACCTCTATAAGGCCACCCGTCAGCCTCTGACGCTCCTGTGCTGTAAAGGAATATTTAAGAAGCCAATTGTTAGTCTCGCTGCTGGGGGCGGGGGATGTACATGTGTGATATTGTAGGGTGAATGAATGTATCCATATGCGTGGTTCTTGTGTTATTTCTCAGTGATCCTGACTTGAGAGTGTTTGTGTGTGTTGTCGTTGGTTAAGAAATGTGACTATTTATTTCTCGTGTGCCATATTTCCCACAGCGGCAAGCCCTGGGCAGATGACACCAGTCAACTGGGACCTGACAAACATGCTCGAGACATCCCTTCCCTGGACAAGTACGCCATGGAGCGTTGGGAGGTGGGTCGGTGCGCTCTGGGTTTAATTGCACACTTTTCGTTAGCACAGTATGGTGAGCAGAGAGCAACTGGTCCTTCACTCTGCTCAAGAATGTAGCGTAGGAGGAGACGCGGCTACCGATTGCACCAAAGCTCAAATGTCTGAAGCTCCAATAAAGCTTGCATCTCGGTTTTGCGGCTTATTCAAACACTCTCACCATTTGTGTGAGAAACCCCTTTTACCTGATTTCGGTTCATTTCTGCAGGTGTCTGTAGACTTCAGTAAGACGTTCAGTAAGGTAGACTGGTTAGCAAGGTTAGATCACGTGGAATCAAGAGAGAGCTAGCTGATTGGATACAAAATTGGCTCAAAAGTTGGAGACAGAGAGAGGTGATGGAGGGTTTTTTTTTGGACTGAGACCAGCGGTGTGCCACAGGGATTGTTGCTGGGTCCAGTGCTTTTTGTCACTTATGTAAATGATTTGGATGTGAACGTACGAGGTATGGTTAGTAAGTTTGCAGATGACACCAAATTTGGTGTTGGGTGTTGCTGAACAGGGACCTCAGGTGCAGGTTCATAGTTCCTTGAAAACGGTAGGTAGACAGGGTGGTGAAGAAGGCGTTTGGTACGTTTACCTTTATTGGTCAGTGAATTGAGTATAAGAGTTGGGAGGTCATGTTGGGCTGTACAGGGCATTGGTTTGGGCCACTTTTGGAATATATTGCATTCAATTCTGGTCCCCCTACTATGGGAAGGATGTTGCAAAACTTGCAAGGGTTCAGAAGAGATGTACAAGGATGTTGCCAGGGTTGGAGGGTTTGAGCTAAAGGGAGAGGCTGAATATGCTGGGGCTCCTTTCCTGGGAATGTCGGAGGCTGAGAGGTAACCTTATAGAAGTTTATAAAATCATGAGGGGCATGGATAGGGTGAATATCCAAGGAACTCTCCTGCCCAGGGGAGCAGTCAGCACTAGAGGGCATAGGTTTAAGGTGAGAGGGAAAAGATTTAAAAGGGACCTAAGGGGCAACTTTTTCACGCAGAGGGTGGTGCATGTATGGAATGACCTGCCAGAGGAAGTGGTGGAGGCTGGTACAATTACAACATTTAAAAGGCACCTGCATGGGTACATGAATAGGAAGGGTTTAGAGGATATGGGCCAAATGCTGGCAAATGGGACTGGATTAATTTAGGGTATCTGGTTGGCATGGACGAGTTGGACTGAAGGGTCTGTTTCCACGCGGTACATCTCTAAGACTCTATCCCACTTTGAAGTTGCAGCTAAGAGATTCTTCCATCTCAGCCACTTAATATATCCCGATGCATCTTCCTTGGTTGGTTATGGACTACCTGTGGATTTTTTTTTGTTGTGGATGATGAATGGGAACTCGGGAGAGAGGAGGCGTGTTACTTGCTGCAGGATTCCTAGCCTCTGACCTGCTGTTGTAGTCAAACAGTGTTTCTATATGACTAATCCAGTGCGGTTTCTAGTCAGTAGCAAGCCCCAGGATGCCGACAGTGATGGTAATGCCGTTGTACATCAAGTGGCGGTGGTTAGGGTCTCTCTGATTGGAAAACGCGACTGCCACTTAAATCACGTGATTGCTACTTACCCCTTTATAATTCCAAAGCTGAATAATGTCCAAATCTTGCGGATCCGCACTGCTTCCCTTTCTGTGGGAGTTACCAATGGTGCTGAATGTTGTGCAATCACTGGTGAGCTTCCCCGGTTCTGACCTTATGATGGAGGGGAGGCCATTGAAGCAGCTGAAGATGGTTAGGCCTAGGACACTACCCTGAGGAACTCCTGCAGAGATATCCTGGAGCTGAGACGATTGACCTCCAACAACCACAACCATCTTCCCTTGTGTCAGGTGTGACTCCAACCACCGGAGAGTTTGCCCCCGATACCCATTGTTTCCAGTTTCGCTGGGGCTCCTTGATGCCACGCTCGGTCGAATGCAGCCTTGATGTCAAGGGCTGTCACTCTCCCCTCACCTCTGGAATTCAGCTCTTCTGTCCACGTTTGAACCGAGGCTGTAATGAGGTCAGGAGCTCAGAGGCCCTGGTGGAACCCAAACTGGGTGTCGCCGAGCAGATAGAAACAAAGCCAGAGACAACAAGGTGCAGGGCTGGATGAACACAGCAGGCCAAGCAGCATCATAGGAGCAGGAAGGGTCT